AGGGTGATGTGGTAGCGCTTGCCGGAGGACATCACCTGCACCAGGCTGGGCAGGATGCGGCCGTCCACCGCCACCTGCGTCGGCTCGCGGGAGATCCGAACTACATTCTCCTGAAAAACAAAGATAATTCAAACATAAAATTCCAATTAAATCGACAATAACCTAAGGGATTTCCGATCAGGTCGAGTGTCGAATTCCGCTATTCGACTATTGTTAAACCATATCCTAGCACAAGCCTAAAGCTTAGTTGGAATTATAAAAGAAATATTAGTGAATTAAAAAAGAAACGTTTTCACTATGATGGGCCTAGAGTTTAGAGAATCGACAAATGAGGTGTCATTCGATTCGTTTTCTTTCCCTGAGTGTCATTTGGTATATTAAATCAGTTTAAAACACTTCCAGTCGACATAGGAATTCTAAAAAAAATTTAGATTTGAACTTAGTCTTCAAATCACTCAACAATAACAATTTGGAAAGGCAATTAAAGGTTCGCCGTACCTTTTCTAATTCTTCTTTTGTCATTTTCCCTTTCCCACCCCCTCTATAAGGAAAGGAAAGGGAAGTGGATTTGACGGTAGAGCTGCAAAGGAAGGGGAAATACGCTCTTTATGTGTACCTCACCTCCTTAATCCATTAAGAGTTGGCAACACATTTGTTGATGTTGATGTCTATGAGCAGAGTCGCTTCGCTATTTTGGCGAATTAAGAAAATTAAAAAAAAAAAACAAACATGTTAGTCTATGTCTCCTTTAGACTCAAACATCAATCCACCTAAACTTTCGCATTTATAATATTAGTTAGATTTTAAAAAAAGAATTAACAAAGTAAAAATATGTACTTACTGGTGTGATCGGCATTAACGTTGGTCGCCACGGCTTGCTGGTGGTCTTCGTCTTCTTAGGGGTGTCAGGTTTTGAGTCCTTCTTCTCTTTAGGAGGTTCGAACATGGATGTAGGAGGTAGGGGGGCTGCGGCTACTTCTGTAGGGTCTGCGGCAGACACCCCTTTCACTAACTGCTGGATATTGTGCAGTACATTCTGTATCGCTTTCCTGCCTTGAGCATTTGGTGTGTTAATTGCTATTAATTCAGGAGGTAATGGTTTCAATTTAGGTTTATCACTTTTAGTTTTATGTTTAGGAACCACTGGAGGCGGCATAAACTTCTTTGGGTCTTTATCTTCTCCGCTTTGACTTGATTTGAGCAGACTCTTCCCGTTAACTGAAGGTTTCTTACGGAACTCTAGCAGACTGACTGCTGGTTCCGGTCTTTTAGGTTCTGTCACATTGTCGTAAGCTCGCAGTCTACTTTGTACTGAATCACTGTAATTTGACGCATTAGGTGATGCGCTATGTGATAGTACTAAGTCTCCATTCCTGAAGTACTTTTCTAAGAGAATTAAATGACGGAGGAAACTAGATTGGTTGCCGTACGGTCTTTGGAGGTCGTGCCAAAGTTTTTTTGTCTCAATGTCGTATTGTATTGTTGTGTTGCATTTCTCCCAACCCTCAGGAGTCACACCTTTGACATTATTAAATTCTATATTGCATTGTAAATTCATTTCCTCCTCTCCGGGGAATAATTCTCTTACAGATATTGATGGGTTTGTTTCCAATCTTTTGACAGGGTTAGAATATTTCATGTCCGATGATTTCTTTGGTTCCTTTTCTACCGATAACTTCTTAGATAGTTCGCTCAAATTCTTCTTAACTTGTGTAAAACTTTCCGACATCTGCCATTTGTTTTTAAGTGTGTTGATATCGGCAGGTTTTTTGTTTGGTATAGTTTCTATTGTACATTCATCATTGAGCGATATATTTTTGAGTATGGTAATTTCTTTAGGCTTTTCTGCTTCAAGCATTTCAACGTCGCTGATAGGTTTCTCTTTATGAGCGAATATTTGCCCAATTTTGTGTAATCTTTTTGAATTTTTATCATGAATTTTGTTCTGGTAGCCGGGTTTCTGTACCCCGAGGTTGTGAACTTTGAGTATATTCTTTTGCTTTTGTGTCAAATTCGGTGGTTTCTGTATAAACTGTTTGGGATTGTTTTGCTTTTGTAGTAGATATTGTAATTCTGTTCGTTTGTCTAGAGATATAATTGGCGCATCGCAGTCAAAAATAGCTTCACTTTCTGATCCATCGCTCGGAGTTTCCTCTGGTTGTTTAGTTGCACCAGGAACGGGGATTTTATTTGAGGATATTAGACTTTCTATATCTTCTTCTATTGGGGTTGTACTTTTGGGTTCTTCTACTTCTTTCTCCTTCTCCGGTGAGCTTTCCGTCGCTCTTTCGGAAGACTCGCTGTCAGGCTTATCTGGTTCTGAGGACTTTCTTTGCTTGGACTTGGTGCGTGCTTTCTTCTTCTGTTTGCCCAGCCCACTGTCTTCTAGTAACAAAGTATTCTCTACTTCGTTTTCTAATTCTGGTGGTAGTTCTATATTGTATATTTGTAATAACCTGAAATAAATAGTTAATTTTATCAAGTGGCATTTATTTTATGACATTTTTCACGCCGGCAATTTTGAGGGTAGGCACAGAGTAGAAACCTTGATAAGGCTTGATCCTGATGAACCTTTCTGGCTTCTACATTCATATGTTGATTTAAGATGCTCCTGATATCACCCAGACATAAAAAAGACAAAATGGCGGATGACATGTTTTTGCTGAACCGTTGGGAATTAAATTTTTAAGCGCCAATAGCACAATGTTTAGGAATAGATTTCCGATCACGAGGTCGAGGGTTCGAGTCCCGCAATTCGTCTACCAGCGTAAAACATATCCTAGCACAAGCCTAGCAGAGCATAAACTTGGAATGGTAAGAGAAATATAAGTAAACTAGCTGTTACTCGCGACTCCGTCAGCATGATATTTAAAAAAATATTACCTTCCTAATGGTAAAAATTTTTTTTTAAATTTTTGAATTAGTTTAGTAGTTTTTGAGTTATTTTAATACATATAAAAATAAAAATTTTTCCTCTTTAGGGATTAATTAAAAAAAACATTTTGAAAAATACTTAGTGTTATGAAATGTGTATATTACCTGCGCCTGCAAGCCTGTAGGTATTTATCGTTGTGTCCGGGGCGGGTGAGCAGCGCGCAGTAGTTGCGGCACATCTTGCACAGCACGGGCCGCTCTGAGAACTGCACCGGCACGCCCGCCGCCGCCAGGTACGGGTTCAATTCTAAATAACCCTGGAAAATATGAAAAAGGGCAATAATTTATTAGTTTTTACTAATATACGAAAGTTTAGGTTTAACAGTGGTAGTGCC